ACTGGCGTGTCGCAAATGTTCCTTTCGCATTTGTTAGACTTGATCGCCTTTGCATTTTGTTTGCTTGAAGTCGGTCACCTCAGTTCCTTTCGTGCATACAACAAGCTTTTCATAAAGCTTGCATTCCATCGTCCGCCACCAGAGTCAGGGCTGCGAAGCCCTAACGTCACGGAAATGCAGGCAGCGGACCGTGAAGCGTGGAAATGCATTTGCGATCTTGTGAACAAAGGTTGGTGCATGGATGATGCATTGCACGAGATTGTGCAAGTCCGCTGCATTTTGCAGAGTCACCTGCAGCCGCGGGTTTTCATTCAGAAAACCAAAAGGCCCAGCACCGGGTCAGGCAACACACCTCAGCCTGACAAAACCCACCCAAAGGGCAAAGGCGGCAAGGGCAAGGGCAAGAATGGTAAATCGAAGGACACCCGCGACCAGAATGGCCCCAAGTGGATGGTTTCATTTTATGAGAACGGAGTTCAGAAGCAGATGTGCAAGCGATGGAACCTTCGCTCTGGTTGCAAGTTGGATGACTGTACATTCGTACATGGTTGTGCTGTTGACGTTGGCGGCCGACCTTGCGGGAAGGATCATCCAGCTTACATGCACAAGTCCTGAAACAGCCCGAAACCTGTGGAGGGACAGTTTTCCGGGCTTTCAACACATGCACCCTCACCTGTTCCATCGGCAGGTCATACAGCTACATCTGATGCTGACATTCTTGACTTGCTTCAGCAGTCCTTTACATCAACAACTGTGAAGTACAGATGGCAGGCTATTGAGGGGGACCGTGCAGATGCCGCCTACTTTAACCTCGGTGGTTTCTCGCAGTCGGTGCGTTTTGGATTGACACATCATACATTCCAATTTCAGCACATCTTGTGCCGACTTAATGCTTGGTTATGCATGCTCTTTCCATTGGGTACATGGACTTCTCTATGCATCTCTCACAACGAGGTGCTAAAAGTTCATCGCGATACATCCAACGAGCCCGGCACCCTCAACTACACTGTTGCCCTGGGGGACTTTTCGGGCGGAGGTTTACTGCTGGAATCTTCATCGGGCGATAAATCCTTGCGTGTCGAAGCCTTACAGAAGTGCATCAACTTTTCATTGGTTGACACCAGGTCTTCTCCCCTTGCATTTGATGGTGGTCTTTGGCACGCCACTGAGCCCTTCAGGGGCGACAGGTGGGTCATCACGGCCTACACCTGCAGGCGTTTAGCTGAATTTCAGTCATCAGATGTTGATGCATTGCGTATGTGGGGGTTTCCCCTGCCTGGCGAATCCTTACCTCGTCGGATGCCTCAACCTCAGGCGGTCGAACTGCCTCAGCCCGTTCTTCCGAAGAAGTTCTGCCTTTTGCTGGCTTCACAACATGCTGAGGTACTTCGTGCTGGCCTCTCAACTGCTGGAGTTCCTCATGTTTGCATTCAGTCTCTGGATCAGGAACATGCCAGAAACTGCATTTTTCGTTGTGCTGGTGAGGGTGTCTTTGCCTCCATTTTTCTGGTTTATTCACCCCACTGGAGCGAGAGCCACACTCGTTGGGTACTCCAACTTTGCAAGGTGGCACACTCTGCAGGTGCAACGGTGCATTTTGACATTTCTGGTTGGAGCCAATGCTGGTCCGATCAACTTTTCCTACACTGCATTTCCACCGGCCTTCAAAACATTGTGCAGGTACCGGCATGTGCTTACAAGGGGGTTGGTGGTAGCCCCTGGATCATGGTCTCTTCGTCGCCTTCTTTCTCTGCTTTGGGGCACCTATGCTGTTGTAGTAGATGCAGTGCGACCTCCACGATCTCTGATTATCCTCCTGCATTCGTGGATGCACTTTGCGACATACTTTTGATATCCAACCTTCGCAAATGCTCAGGTCAATGCGAGTTCTCCATCGATGAGGCCTGGTCCTGCATTCCGGTCAAACAGTGCGATGCTTCCCCACATGCTTGGGTGGATGGTGGTGGCCTAAACAGCCGCCCGGACTGGAGTGGCCAGGACCGCTCCACCAAGGACATTTTCAAATCACTTCGTCATGCATTGATTACCTGGTGTGGCAAGGCATGCATTCCTTCCAGGCTGCGGCATAAGCTTTTGCATCCTTCTGAGGCTCATCTGTTCTCTGACACTGAGCTTGGCGACATTCGTGGGTTCTTTAGTACCTGGTTGGCGTCTCAGGGTTGTTCCGATGTCGACTGGTCCATTAAGGATGGACAGCCATATTGCCTGAAAGCTCTGTCTGCATTATCCTCGGCACTTCAGGATGCGGATATGACTCTTTTCAATGCATTGCTCAGTGGGGTTCCCACTGGCTTCAAACACGACATCCCCCTTTCGGGGGTTTTCGCTCCCTCAGGTCGCACTGCTTCTGATGATGCATTGACCGTATGTGAAGAAAATTGGCAGGGAGCCGAGGACGACCCGGTCCTCCTCGAGGAACTTGTCAAAATCGAGGTGGACCAAGGCTGGCTGCGATGCATTGAGTCTTTGGAAGCTGCACGCCAGATCTGGCCCAATGTTGCTGTCGGCAAGCTTAATATCGTACATTCTGAAGGCCGTAAACCGCGACTCGTGGTGGATTCCTCCATTTGTGGTACAAATGCATCATGCCTTATTCCTGAGCGGTCTGCACTCCCTACTTTACAGACTATACAGACTTCATGGCCGTTGCGTGGGAAACATGAGCCACTCGCTGCTTGGTCTCTGGATGTGCAAGCTGCACACAAGTCCATTATGGTTCGGGAGTCCGAGCAGGGCCTCCTCGGCATCCGGGTAGGCCCCAAGCTTTATTTCTATTCAGTGTGTCCATTCGGTGCTGCTTTTTCTGCTTTCTGGTTTGCTAGACTTGGTGCATTCTTCGTTCGGACACTACATCGCTTGATTTTCATTGCTCATTTCCTCGCCATGTACGTGGACGATTTACTTGGCTTCCAATCTGCATCGGTGGCGGAGATGAGTTTTTGCATTACCCTCTGTTTCTGTGGTGCTTTTTCCATTCCTTTGTCGTGGAAGAAATTGCAGTTCGGCTGCTCCATCCGCTGGATAGGGTGGGAGCTCGATTTTGGCATGGGGTGCGTTTGCATTCCGTCTGACAAGCTGGAGAGATTACATTCAGTTATAGTCACTGCTCTCCGTGGTAAATACACGGATCGTGTTACATTGAGCAAGTTGTGTGGCATGATGCAATGGCTTTTCAAGCTGTTTCCATTGGCCAGGCCCTGGCTCAGGTCACTTTACCAGGACCTCAACACTCCTCGTGCAACCAACTTCAGTGTTCGTCAAACCGACTGGCAGTCCTTCATTTCATGTCTCAATGATACCTTGCATCTTGTGAGGTTACCCACTGGATCCGCCATTACAGTGGGCAGCAAGGTGCTTGCAGTGAGACATCGCAAAGTTAGCACCAAGCGCGAACTTTTGTCTTGCAACATTGGTGATAAGGATATCTGGCTTCGCATTACTGATTCGGCCTCAAAACGCCGTGCATTGAGCCCAGCTTCTCGCAACTTATTGTTTTTCTGGCTGCAGTGGTCTTCATTGCCCCCTATCTGGCGATCCCTTCGTCCAATTGACACTATCATGGTGGAGGCTGCCGCCGATGCTATGGGCAATGGCCGTACATTTGCTATTGGCGGCTACATTGCTTTACCGGCTGGGGAATTCTGGTTCTCTGAGAGATTTACTGTGGAGGACTTTGCATTTGCAGAGCTTCCTCTTAAGTCCGAGGCGCACAAGGACATTACTTGCTACGAATGCTTGGGTCAGATTGCATTGGTTTGGCTTTTGAGTGCAGTTAACCCAGGATGCAGGCTTTCTGTTCGCATGCATTCCTGGTGTGACAACAGTGGTGCCGAGGCCACAGCAAACAAACTTTTTACGACTTCATGGCCTCTTGCTGCATTTGTGCAGCGACTAGCCATTTTGAGTAGCTTTACTGGTGTGCATCTTGACGTGCATCACATTGCAGGTCCTAAGAATGTGGAAGCGGACTTTTTGAGCCGTTGGCTTCCTCCTGCTCCATTACCTGATCGGTGGAGCATGTCGCGTCGTCGACGTATTCCTTTAACCTCATTATGGACTGCGTCGCCTTCCATTTCCCTTTCGCCGGAGGGCTGGAAGCCTCCTTTTCGCGTTCCGAGTGTTTCTCCATTAGGAGCAGCACTCTAATCACCTTGTCGCACGTTTTTCATTTGGTGGAATTGATGCGCGACTTCGGTTCTCTGGCAGATTGCATTTGGGAGAAAACATGCAGACCCTTTTCACAGGCAGCTTCTTGCTGCTGAAGCTCGGATCTGCATTTCCCGCCAGAGAACAAAGGAGCGAGTGTTGTGCGAGTGACTGCATCAATTCCATTTGAATATTTCCATTTGAATATTTCTTGCTTATATGTATTTCCATTACATATAAAGCTGCAAATAGGAAGCAGCTGCGAATACATTAGCCGAACGGTATGTGTGCTTGCTCACGAGTGTTTGGTAATGTTTTGCATGCTTGCTGCACTCATGACATTCCATGTGCATTGCAGCAAGCAGGCTCGCAGCTGCCAACTCGCCTGCATAGCGGGCAGAAACTTTTGTCCCACCCACCTCTTCCCTTTTTCTGGGTGCGAGTGCTGGCGTTTGCACTCTTACACTGTTTTCGCATTGCTTGCATTTGCATTTGTTCTGCCTCTATATGGTCTGTCCTTTAAAAGGATCGGTCCATCTGCATTCTCTCTCTCCATGGCAGGTCGGTGCCTTTTGATGCACCTAGATCCCATCGGGGGGGGAGAAAACATGCAGACCCTTTTCACAGGCAGCTTCTTGCTGCTGAAGCTCGGATCTGCATTTCCCGCCAGAGAACAAAGGAGCGAGTGTTGTGCGAGTGACTGCATCAATTCCATTTGAATATTTCCATTTGAATATTTCTTGCTTATATGTATTTCCATTACATATAAAGCTGCAAATAGGAAGCAGCTGCGAATACATTAGCCGAACTGCAGCGTCCGGAAAAACTCAGGATCAGGAGCTGACCTTGCACCAACTTTGCGGAGGCAGTCGCACGCTGCAGGTCAAGTAGATCTTCGGCTTGATCGGCATGATCTTGGGCGGTGTCCCGCTCACCGTCACCTGCAACATAAACAATGACAGCTGAACCAAAGTAATCTGCTCAATGACACGATTGACTCCACGGAGGATGCCCGACAACCTTTTATCGTTTGCTGCTGCAACAGTAATTATACAGACATAATGAAAAGCCCGCAGTGGTTGCAGCACGACGGCCTCCCAAGCCACAGTGGCAATCTTGTTGCGGGGCAAGCGGTCATAGTTACCACTGAAGAGAGCGGCGAGGGAGACAGCACGGACATTCTCTGTCTCCTCTTTGCTCAACGCTGCTGGCTTGAAGACACTCGTCTTGCAGCTCACGGTCGGGGCCACATCATATCTGAACCCAAACAGGGCTTCGTCATCATCAAGCTGGGTCGCGGCATCTTCTGGCGCAGCAGCAGTCTTGGATGACAGGTCATGTTGAATCTCACCTCTAGATTAATAAGCATAGCAAGCAAGCAGCAGGAGGCTTGGGCAGCACCACGTGGGACTCCAGCTCCACATTCACGAGGCCCTCCTCCGTGGCCTAGTAACGCAAACCAGGCTTTTAATAACCTTCCACATCACGAAGCCACCCAGTCCTACTTCATCATCATCACCATCAATCATCATTGTCGTCATTAGACTGACACTGAGAATCATCACATTCATTTAAGTCTGCCCTTCAAAACTTACACCGGCATCATGTGATGTCAGGACCCAATGCACAATCCCGCTGCGCTACGAGTGCTAGCATGCTTCTTAATCTGTCAATCGTGGGCGGCCTTCAGCCGCAGCAATTCGCATAGTGGCAATGCTGACTTGTTCACGACAACGAGCTCCTTGTCGCTGCCCAATCGCCATGGCACCCCGGAGCTTTCCTCCAGCACGTTTCCTGGAATCAGCGGGCTCTCGCATTAAAACCTGCTTCAATGCCGGAACACTCGTGCAATGGTTGTTTAGCACTCAGTAGTGGTACCACTCGTCGTGCCAAATACATGATTCTTATTGTCTTCTTTTGGAATCTCACACTTCATTTAAAACTAAGGGGTGTGCTTGTTGCTTTGATTCGATATTCTTATTTCAGACGAGGAGCGAACAGGACGGTCCGAGTAACTGCCCATCCCAAACCCACAAAGTTCAGAGCAGCAAAGATCCAGAGGGGAGTCGCTGGTGTTGCCGATCCACAAGGCGTACTCGGCCGTGATCATGATGCTCGGCTTGCCGGGGCGCCCAGTGACCATGGAAAGCCTGAGTCAGGTGCCATGAGCAGCAGGACACACACACACAGATCTAAACATGTACGCTAATTTTTCGAATTTAGGGCTAAGTTCCTGTTACAAAGTTAGGGTTTCGGGGTTTAGGCATTTGGGGGTTTAGTAAAAGGGGTTTAGGATTCGGGATGAAAAGTTAAAGGCTTCTGATTCTGGGCTTTGGGCTAATAATTACACGCATTGCGACCTTGCATGCTCAGAACAAATTTTTCAATCAATGATTCAAACCTTAAGAGCCATCAGACTGGTAGCATGGTCTCGTTCAGCTCTGCGACGGGGACCGTTGCGAGGTCCACGCACCGCTCAACGTCCAGCGGCTCTCCATCCTGCGAGTAGTCGCACTCCGCAGCCAGGCGCTGGGTCTGCTGGCTGACCGAAGAGGCCTGTCGGCCCATCTGGCTCAGAGCTCGCGGCTTCGGGAACTCATTCAAAAACTCCTGGCGCAATGCCAGGAGCTTTGCATGCTCCGGGGTACCGCACGGAAACTTGTCCTCAAGCGAAGACGGCCATATGGGCTTGGAGCCCTGCAAGGAAAGGATCTGCAGCTGCACGGTCGCCGCCTCCAAATCGACATCATCTCCAGCGCGTCTCTTTGCAGGGGCGGCGCTGCTGTTATCCCACCAGGAGTAGATCTTGCCGCTGAGCTCCGCTTTCACATCAGCATGCTCCGGGCGGAAGAGGCCGACGTAGCGCATGCAACTCTTGCCTTCGCTCGCAATCATCTTGTTCACGGCCGCGCGGGCAAACTCGGCTTGCCTGCAGGAGCAACCCTTCGAATTTCAAGTATTATATGATGGTTTGACTGAAAGAAAGGAATCAACATATCAGTTCAGGTCCAACCTGTTGGGACAGAGGTCCACGATCACCAGCCTGTCCGTTTCGGAGAAGCCCATGCCATCCATGAAAGCATCGAGGATGCCCTCATGCAGCGGCACTCCCTTCCTGTTCGTATGATGGCGCACTCATGTTCTGATTCGGATAACAGACCACTGGCTCACAGGAATGAATCAGTCAAATACAAAAACCCTTATCTTTCGATGTGACCGAAACGCCCACGCGACCGACCCTGTGACACACGAGTTAAACTTGACCCCAATCCTGACAACCTATTTAGTATGGTTCTCCTGCTAATGATTACCGATATTTTTTTATGGTTCACACCCACTAAGTTTAAAAGAACCTTTCAGTAGTATTAGAAAAGAAACAAACTCTTTGTAAATGCCCGAAGTCTGACCTTCGGACTCAGTTTGTTGCCCAGATGCTGCTCTATCCTCGCCGCAGGGCCAGGCCGCGAGGTCTCGTAGCCCAGGAAGTCCGCGACTTTCAGGAGCGGGAAGGGTCCCATTCGGCACTCTTGCAAGACTCGCGAAGCGCTCCAGCTTGTTGCATCGAAGCCACTGAAGAGGCAGGTCAAGCAGGTTTGCGTCAGGGACCGCTTGTCAGATGCACTTGCGTCGGCAGGCTTCTCGAAAAGCAGGGCTGTCACGGAGTCTGCATTGATCTTTGCCTTCAGCAACAAGTCCTCCACGGTCCGCCTGTGCTTGACGCTCGTTGACGAAGCCATCGAGCGATGCGGCAGCGGAAGCTGCAAGAGGCCCACGTTGTTGGAGCTGCTGGCAAGCAAGTTTGCCAGCAGCTCCACGGAGTCCCTCACGTAATCTACATTCGCTGGCAGCACCGTGTAATCGCAAAGGCACAACACGTACCTGAATTGGAAGCGGTCATCCCAGGCCGCTTGATAGAAAACAACAACTCCGAAGGCCCAGAACACTTGATCCTTAAACCGTAGACCCCGAGGACACTAAGTTACTCTTAGTTAGTTTACTTACATCACATGTCAACTAGTCACTGAAGGAACACACAACCCCAAATAGGAGCTCTAACTAAATAACTCATAACTTAGATTCCCAACCTGACAATTATTAATTACTGTCATATTATGTCAATTATTAATCTCTTAATAATAAACGTAACACTTAAACCCAAAATAGGAGCTCTACCTACATTCTGGGACCTCGGGCTCCGAGTCTGTAACAATGATTGTAATGATGAATTGGGATTCACGAATTGGATTACTTTAGGCCTGACTCGAGGCTGCAGGATAAGTAATCGTCGAGTGGCTGCGTGCCCGCGATGCCACGGAACTGGCCCAGGTATTTGAGCACGTTGGGCAGGACATTGTTGCCTTTGCAGCTGAGCGTCTCGTCCAGCATCTCGCAGTGGCAGTACTCGGCCATCCACGTGTGCACAAAGTTGTCGCCTTGCCTTGACAGCATAACTAACGTAGTCCACGTGACAAGGTTTCTGGCTAGTGTTATTCGTGTCAAGCTGCATTTGCCTGTCCTTGACGTACTTCAAATCCTTTGCCGCAGCGATGGCCTTGAGCACATGGTCTGGGGTCCGCTGCCGCAATGCCTTGATGTCAGACTCGACCAAGGCGGTGATCTGGGCCAGGGTGGCTTCGCGGACTTGCCGCGCATGCTCTGCCTGCGTCGCATCCATCTCCGCCTGTGCCTGGGTCTCGATCTGGACCACCACCGCCCTGAGGGCGGAAAATTGTGAGGTAGATGGTTCATTATGCTGCTTGTTTATTAACCGTGCACCTGAAGGCGGAAACAGATTTCAGATCTGCTGGCGGCACGGCGCTCTCAAGGACGTGGACAAGGTCCGTGTCCAAGTAGCCGTGATGGAACTGATGCATGAGCTGCCCCCGGAGTTCAGGAAACTCTTTGCCGGGGCACATGGCTTCCAAGAGGCCGAGGAAGTGCAGCATGGCAGCACAGCAAGCATGCTTTGTCACCGTTTCCTTGTAGGTCGGTGCCTGAGGAAGCTAAGTTTAACACTGCTGCAACCAATCTTGGATTCTCAGTATTTTACTCTGAAGGCCAAACTTGCAGTTGCAACCACTAAGATTCCAAGGCACCTTGCGCAGGGGCTCGGGCGCGAGGTCGAAGTCGCTGACGAGGCGCTCCACCAGCAAAGATGCCTTATAGAGGTAGACGTAGAGATAGAAATAGAGATAAAGATAGAGCTAAAGATAGAGATAGAGATAGACATAGCCAGCCATGATCGAGGGGGCGCGTGAGCTGAGGATGATGATGGTCATGATGATTCGGACAAGTATTGCATGATGATTATGATTCTGACTGGACTACACTGACCAAGGTCTGAAAACGAAAGGATTATGCTCACGATGATCTCATTCTACGTGTCTGGTGCAGTATAGTAGACCACTAAGAAAGCTTAATTAAGTTCAAGAGCCATCCCTCAACCCCAAATTTTGCAAACCAGATGTTCACGTTCAGTCACAATCCTGGAATCGCCCGGGGCGTTTGTCAGCTGGTCCCGCCATGCATCCATGCCCGGCGAGGTGTTGATGTAGGAGGCACTGAAGAGTTGTCGTGCCACAGCTTCATGGCCCAGAAACTTCACCATACCTCGTTGCTTCACTGCCGTTTCCAATGCATTTTTCACATCCTTCGGCACGGCCGTGATGAGCTGCTGCACAGCTCCGGCTTCGCTCCGGCCTATTTGGAAGGCCTTCGCAATGGCAGTCTGGGAGTGCCAATCCTGAGACTGAGAATAACAAGACTTCGTAGGAATCGAACATAAAGCCAAACGTCTTCAAGTTGCTATCTCGTTCTGAGTCTCCGAAAACTGCTGTTCGGCTCCTCCTGCTCCAGCTCTTTGTAAGATGACAACTTGACGCAGGAAGTGGAAGCAGTTTGGGGGTCGCCGCGTTGCGGTAGACGCGAGGGTCACTCCTAGTCTGTCAGTTTTAACAACAAATAATAATAACCAGTTATCGGTCTATGACTGTCGACGCCAATTGTCTTGACTTGGTGCATGCAGGCCACCTCGCGAAGCCAACACCTTGGCTTTCACACCTTGAAAGGCTCCGAAGGAGCAGTGGATGGTGCCCATTGTCACCTGAGGCCGGGAAATGATCTGAAATCTCACTCTATTATTTTAAAACTTAATATCTAAAGGCTTCACGTTTACACTATCTGACTATGATAAATTTTAATTACAGCATGTGTTGATGTAAAGACCAGGCGCACGAATGTGGTGGGGCACTTCTGCCTCCAATCCCAGCACTCTGATTCCACAGAGTGCCAGGATCAAGCACACTGCTCTTTTCCACCCTTTCACGTACCCGACACTGAAGGGTGGCAACAAAGCACCTGAATCACAACATCAAATGCACACAGATATGACTCGCGCTATGCTCCCAAGTTACTGCCCAGGTTGATGGCGGGGCATTCGGTGATGCCGCCGTCGAGGTACTCCGGTGGAGGCAGCGTGACGCCCAACTTCTCGACACCGACAACGTTGGGGTCAGTCAGGAACCTTAGATCGCAAGTCAAATCAGAACCCGGACCAAATCAAGAAGATTATAAGTACACATTAAAGTAACACCAGTCTATAGTACTGGGTCCAGTAGCCCCTCTGTCAAGATGAGTTCCAGGAGGAGCTCGGCCGTTTCAGGCTCCATCATTCCGCTAATTCCGAAATCTGAGCGCCATCCCAACTGGAAGGGCCTCAAGTAGCAGCCGTTGCTGTCAATGCTGTAGGCCTTCCTGCAGGTGCAGGCAGTGCAAAAAAAATCGTTTGTGTTTCAACTGTGTCGAAACAGTCAAGGTGCTCAGAATCTGCAGGACAGAAGTTGTCCATCCACCGGGCGAAGTCAAGCTTTTTCTCCTAGCAGACAGAGGGTGAGCAACAATGCCATGTTGGGACGAAGTCCTCAGTAGTGACTTAGTATTAGTAGTTAGACTTTATTAGACTGAATGAATGATTCTGATAACTATGACCCATGACGAGTTTACAACAATTGCCTTGCCTCAGTGTCCATTTGGTTGCTAAGGAAGGCGTCGATGGAGCCGGCGGGCAGCACGGTGTCCTTGAGCCTCAGACTCAGAGAGGAAACGGACTGTTGATGCTCACTCCATCAGGTCCAGCACGTGCAGTAGATTAACAAGAGGCATGTCACAGTCCATGGCTTAATAGTTTAGCATGAACTTTGCAGAACAAGCTTCCAAGCCGTGATCTTGTGAACATAGCTGTACTTTTCCAGGGTGGCCGGATTTGCTCCTTGCTTGGCTGCCTTCGCATTGGCAGGCCCAGCCTTGCCCTCCCCTGACTTCCGCTTGCCGGCCATGGTCACTCACTCCGTGAGGCAGGGCCCAAGCTGCAGGACTACTGCACTGTCACTGAATGAATCTCTGAGTTCAGGACAAGTTTCGCTCGGCAAGCGGCCGGACTGCAATTAAGCTTGTCGGTGTGGCCTACAGTACAGTGCTGAAACGATGAAATTGAATTCGTAACAGTAACAGTAACACAGAATGAACCTGAAACTAGCCGTCAACTTAACACCATGCTAGGTTAAGGTAGTCTGGCCTAGAGAGTAACAGTAGTAATACTCAGCAGCGGGACCAGTGACATTGAATGAATGAATCTGAATTCAAAACATGTAACACCGAATGACATGAAACTGAGCCTGAAGCCTTAACTTAACACCAGGTTAAGTGATTCAGTTACTTAGGCTAGGTCCTCACATCGACAGAGTCAACCGCACGCTCGAGTCGGAAAACTTTGAGGGATGAGAGCATCAATGCTGACACATCAGATGCATCAAGGGCTACCTGAGCCTGGTCAGTGCATCAGAAAGCGACTCTCAGCGCTGCATAGCAAGCCGCCCAATTTCTTATGATGTCAAATTCACACTCAGTCAATAAGGCGCCACTGTCCTAGGATGGCTCAGCAACAGACAATGAGAAGCGTACTGTAATGCACATCAAAGGCTCCAGGCGACTACTAAATATGTCCTGCTGCCAAGGGTCCCGGCTGAAGAACTGTGATAATGAGGCCAAGTGACGCTTGTTCTGAATTGACTAACTGAAAACATTCTCATCGCCGTAGCAGAATCTGCGGAACGCCAAAATCCTGCGCGGCAATCTAAGGGGCATTGACATGCTGCCATAAAGACGGAAACTGGGACATTCTGGGCCTGTCATTGTAAGGAGCAGCTATGGGCCTTGAGGCTGACCTGTCTGATTTCAATCTGGTAAATTATTATTGCATGTCTGTTTTGGGTAATTGGACAGCCTGGAACATTCAGCTTCACTTTAATTTAGCTTGCCGAATCGAAGTTACAGTTTTGGAGCTGAGAGGCGCTATGGATTTAATTTAGACACTTCGCACATGAACTGTTTTGCTGGAGTCGGACTCGGTGGGCGCACTGCAACAGAGTGACTCAAAGCCACTTGGGCTCCACGTGAAAGGAGACCATGGAATCACAACGTGTGGCTTGCAGCAGCTGTCTGACCAGATGATTATGTAATGATCGTCCAGGACCAGCATCCAGAAGCAAACAAACAGAGCACCGCTTGTCACACCGAATCGTCCCGCAGGCTCCTGCAGGGCTTAAAGAAAGAGAACATGGACAAAGACTTTCGATACAGTATAATTAACTATTATACTAGTAGCCATGATGACATCATGATGATGTGTTTCTCTGTCTGTCTGTCTGTCTGTCTGTCCCCGAGTGTCTGTAACACTGAAGGTGTTGCGGTCACAGACAAATCAATTCAGAGGAGTTTGCGTTGAATCTGTCTGTCCTCCGACGCGATTGAAAAAGTTTGCGTTGAATCCGTCCGACGCGACAGGCGTTTGCGTTGAATCCGTCCGATGCGAGAGGCGTTTGCGTTGAATCTGTCTGTCCGACGCGACAAGCGTTTGCGTTGAATCAGTCGGACGCGACAGGCGTTTGCGTTGAATCCGTCCGACGCGAGAGGCGTTTGCGTTGAATCTGTCTGTCCGACGCGAAAAAAATTTGCGTTGAATCCGTCCGATGCGAGAGGCGTTTGCGTTGAATCCGTCCGACGCGACAGGCGTTTGCGTCGAATCCTTCTAACGTCGGTTGGCCAAAGCCCAATTTGCGATGAATCACAGGTAGGATTCGACTCAAATTGGGGCTTCGGCGAGAGAGCCGATTTGTGATGAATCCCAGGTGGGATTCAACTCAAAATGGGCCTCTGGGCCAGGTTTCACTACTCCTGTAAAATTTCAGGGGTGGTCCAGCCTGGCCCAGAGGCCCAGTTTGAGTTGAATCCCACCTGGGATTCATCACAAATCGGCTCTCTCGCCGAAGCCCCAATTTGAGTCGAATCCTACCTGTGATTCATCGCAAATTGGGGTTTGGCCAACCGACGTTAGAAGGATTCGACGCAAACGCCTGTCGCGTCGGACGGATTCAACGCAAACGCCTGTCGCGTCGGACGGATTCAACGCAAACGCCTCTCGCGTTGGACAGAGGGATTCCGCGCTAAACGCTTCTCGCGACGCAGGACCGCGGGAGCGATTTGAGTTGAAAAGCACCTGGGTTTCAACACAAATCGGTGGTTCCTCCTGGCCGGCCATTTCAATAGGTTTCCACTCTAGCACGCAAAATCTGCTGAACAATGGGCGTTTCCGCGATTCTGAGGGGTTTCTAGGCTCCA